TGTACTCTCCCTTCATGATGTACATACTGTACTCTCCCTTCATGGTGTACATACTGTACTCGCCCTTGATGGTGTACATGCTGTACTCTCCCTTCATGGTGTACATACTGTACTCTCCCTTCATGGTGTACATGCTGTACTCTCCCTTCATGGTGTACATACTGTACTCTCCCTTCATGGTGTACATACTGTACTCTCCCTTCATGGTGTACATGCTGTACTCTCCCTTCATGGTGTACATACTGTACTCTCCCTTCATGGTGTACATGCTGTACTCCCCTTCATGGTGTACATACTGTACTCCCCTTCATGGTGTACATACTGTACTCTCCCTTCATGTGTACATGCTGTACTCTCCCTTCATGGTGTACATACTGTACTCTCCCTTCATGGTGTACATGCTGTACTCTCCCTTCATGGTGTACATACTGCACTCTCCCTTCATGGTGTACATACTGTACTCTCCCTTCATGGTGTACATACTGTACTCTCCCTTCATGGTGTACATGCTGTACTCTCCCTTCATGGTGTACATGCTGTACTCTCCCTTCATGGTGCCTTGATATTAGTGCAGATTTTTTAACCAAAAAAACTGGATTGACCCTCTTTTTCTGTGGCTCGATAATAATAATAATAATAATAATAATAATAATAATAATAATAATAATAATAATAATAATAATAATAATATAATTGTGGAAAATTGGATTTATCTGAATGTAACTAATTGTGTACATAACAGTAAATGATAACAAAGATAATTATTATTTATCAATGTTACATAGACAAGTAGGAATTTGGGACACCTAGGTCGCAAAAAATGTCCCCCTTCGATACCTACCATGTCATAACCACAAGTTGCCTGGACCTATTAATTAAATTAAATATACATACACCAGGAATACTGGTAAATATATAAATTTGTGGACTGTATATTAAAAAATTATTATATATAAATTCACATATACATAACAGAAGGAAAATATATCTTAATATCACTCACCAATTTGACTGGATATTAAGTTGTATCATACTCAGAAAAACCTCACTAACTAAATTTATGAAAACACTGGCCAGAACTATACACAAATCTAGAGAGCTTATCTGAGGTTCCTGGAGCTGTCTTGTCCAGTCGTCTGATATCTCAAGTTATGCAGGAATGCACATCCAACAATTTCGCCTCCTATTTGAGAGGTGTCAATCCAATTTTAACCTCTAGAGCACGAAAAATTCTTCCCCATTATATTAACGTTGTATCCAATTCAAAACCAAGATGGCGAGTGTCCTCCCCAGCCGCAGGTTTCCGTTTTCTATGACAAATATTATTAAATACAGTATGACCATCTGTTTACATATAACTACTGTATTTCTGGAAAATATATACAGTATTTTCCACAATACTTTACTCGTAATATAGCAAGAAAACATGGAGAAAATATGTCTATTCGAAACACAGCTGTGCTGATTACTAAAATTAGCTAAGAAATATTAAGCATCAGGGTTTTCGCATTAACACTAACCTTGAAAAGGTGCAAATTACTGCACGATGAATGGTGAGAAATGTTATGTTTGAACCTGATATACATAATATAATAGTTAAAGCATGTGAGTTTTACAGAAAAAAGGAAGTATATAATGGGCTATAATTAGTGATTAAGTGATAATGAAAGAGATTAGGAGTCAGGGTATTAGGATTTACTGAAGGTTAGACAAAGATAAAAGTAATACAAAGGCTAGAATAAAAATACGTAAAATGGCTTAGAGTAGGAGAAATTATGGGCTGGGCTATGTAAGATAATCATCTTGATATAATTTCAGAGTTTAGTAAAGATGACATAGAATAGAAGCTAGACTACTGGTTTTAACCAAGGGCTCAGACTGATTGAGAATTGGTAGGTGAGGAGTGCAAATTTAGGCTGTGGTCGCAGGTGGTGAAGACTGGGCCGGTCGCTGAGTTCACTAGCTACGTGCTCAACCACTGTCTTTTTTTGTGTGTGTGTGGGACGCGAATTCCCCTTCCCTACCCCACCAGTCCTTTGTTACCAAGTGTTATTTTTTTTTATACCATCTTCCACTTTCCTACAACTGTCTCATTGACATTACTCCTTCCAGCACATTATTTAAGTCCTCATCAGACGGTATATAGAGTGGTACATATCTTTCCGTATATATACACCGGAGTTTACTGTTCTACGGAATAAGTCACTAAAGTATTCATGATGTTAGTGTACAGATTAAATGCAATCTTAGACTCACAGTCTATACGCTTTATATTTCACATCAGCCCACAACCAAATCATCCCTATGTATTTCACGTCCACTTTGTTTCCCTCATGCAGACTATTAAAGTAGTTCCTGGTTCAGTAAATTATGGGCAGACAATGTCTCAGAATACATAGACGTGATGTAGTGGGTTGTATATGAACAGTAAGAAGTTGATTACCTTAGATATCTTTAGCATTTATTATAAGGCAAAAACTTGATCTTTAAGTTGTTGCCAGATATTTTAATTTCAAGAACTTATCTTGCTGACAAATTCGTAATTTGAGAGTTCGGGTATAAAGTAAAACAATGAGCTCCGATTGTTAAGATGTGATCCTTACCTCACCTCCAACAGTCTCATTCCGACGTTATAAATGTTCATACGCTATTTCAAAGCCGGATTAAATTTTTGTAGGGCCCTGGGCAGTACGTACAGTGAGGGGCTCCTTACAGGGAACCACTCAAATCTCTATCAAAAAATAATGCCAACAGTTCATCATATAAGTGATGTAATAACATACTATAATTACAAACTTACAGCAGTAACTGGGAAGGAGGACCCTGAGCTGCAGCTCAGGCTATTCTATGTCATTTTCCAACAAATAAAATCTAGATTCATTTTTATGAACAAGTTATCACTACTGTATTTATCACTGAAGGTGATCAATGTTATCACTAACCTTCATGCATAATACAAGCTTCGCAGTACAAATTAAAATTAAGAGTACTTGCAGTTAATTTTCATTATGATCAGCTTCGGTAGGTGTGTTAAAATGAATTCGTGCTCCGTTAAACAACCTGAAGCTCCGGTATAAATATATACCGGGAGGTTGAATCTCTCCACGGTAAGATGCAAGCAAGCACTTGGAGGCCGCCAAGTAGCAGACCCGTGTATGCAGAGTCAAGGTAAACACAATGGATATTTTTAGCATTGAATGCAGCCATTAGTAAGAGACGAGGACACACGTATGTGATTGGACTCTCATTGCGAGCATAATTACATGGAATAATTTCCTGATATTTAATAAATATTATGAGTTAAGTGCGAGAAAAAGAACTGGATAGCTGAGATGAAGGTAAACTTTGGGGTTTTCTGTGACTTAAAAACAATAACAGCTCGCTTGATGGGAAATATAAATAACACTTAATGTACTAGAAATTGACCAAGGAGAACGTATGTAGCACAGTGGTCGACAGCCTTGTTATATATCAGATGCTTCCAGTGTTGTGGTTTGGGTTTAAGGGTCACATCGGCCTGAGGAACCGGCAGTGTTCCGATATCCTGATATCGGATGAACCCATGATGCCTTACCAATGAAACCCTTGCTATGCTGCTCCCCATGGATGTTCACAATCACTAACAATTCAGGCACCTTTCCAGGTACACTATGTTATATATGGAAATTTCATCGGTGATGTATAATTCCTAGGTTCAGCTGGGAAAGCCTATTAGTTAGTCCCTGCGAAAAGAATAGGATATTATGGAATGTTGAAGGTTTTCATTGAATTTATGTTAATATTTTCCTTTATAACCACCATTGGTGTTTTGTGATTTAAGAATAATGTGGAGAGATTTAAGAGAGAGAGAGAGAGAAAAAAAAAGACATAACAAATTTTAACTTCAAGTTTAAGAGGGCTTTTCCCTTCTGTATCATCATTAGATTATTATAAAAAGAAGCGCTAAACCCACTAGGGTCATACAGCGCTGCATCATCACTTAAGAGGAACTGGAAAAGGACGATGGAGTTCCTTGGATCATCAATTGATTCAAGGAGTCTGGGGCTAAGTTCTATTTTTTGTTGAAAACTTGTTCCATATGTTACTGCATTGCATTATTGTCATTTAGTTTAAGAGCTCAGATGAGCAGAGATGTGGCATAAACAGAAGGGGGCAGGTCAAATATTACATTTCATAAAGGGGATGGGCGCTAAACTCGTAGGAGCCTGGAGAAATGGAAGGCAGTTGGGTTCGATCCAAGGTAGAAGTCATCCCCTCATCGTGTCAAGGGAATCTCCGGGGAAAAAAAGGGTAATTCAAGAATGGGCTCCGTGTAACCTGGAGAAGCTAGACGTTCTGCGTCGAGTTTACCTGGGGTCGCTTCCGGAGGTCACCGCCCCCGCGGCCCGGTCCAAGACCAGGCCTCCGAGTAGTGGAATATATAGCCTGAGCTCTTCCCAGTGTTATCGAAACTAAAGTGAACTATACTGATTTCCGGGAATCAATAAACATTTCGCAAAAAAATACCTTAAAGCTTCATCATCCCTCTTTCAAGGAATGCAGTGAAATATAACTATGTATTTATTTTATAACAAATATAGTAACGATCTGAATCAACCTTGTACAAATTTACACAAAATTAAAAAAAAAGTAATATGCTTAACCTTAAGAATTTGTTTTCCTTAGGTGAGTAGTTTTTTAGGTGGTCTGTTATTATTACTATTATTACAATTATATTATTATTAATGGGAGGTGCTAAGCCCCCTAAGGTTCATACAACATATAATTAATGGGAGGTAAGCAGATTAAATCCAGCATAGACATCTTCTTAAACAAAGATGATCACTAGTCTCCTTCACCCAACACATTATTGATTATGTCAAATCTTCCAGGAATACATGTTATTGATCCCATTGACAGAACCCTACTCAGCCCTTCTCTTGGGTCTAACACTGTCGACGAGATTATAGCAAAAAATAAGGACGACTTTAATACTTAAGAATGAAAAACAGTATGGGAGGTAAACAATTTATTTTTATTAAAGCTGTACATTGTGGGTATGGTTAAAAAAAAATTACAATATGATGAGTACCGTATTAATACAAAGCCCATAGAATGTACAGCATTTCGAGCAGCAATAATGCCTTTTACCTTCCTACTAGATGTCAATCCCTTTTCAAACTTTTCATCATTGTATGCCTATAATAATGTTCTTAATGCATTGTATAAATTTAAAACAGACGTCTAAAATCACAAAATTTAAGCTGAATAAAGCTTATTATTCTGCACCCTCACTGCTGGAAACAAGACTAATACGACGTCCTTTCAAAGAAAGCCCATTCTGTTGAGCTTGGTGGACTAAGCATACGCACAATAGAATCATGTTAAGCGCTAAACCTGAATGGGTCATACAGCGCTGCGGACCATACAGTCTTCCAGATCAACTTGACACCCACTGTCTATCTGACTCCATCACATCATCCAATAAGCTAGTGAAGTCAACTGAAAGAAAATACCCTTATATTGCATTTCACTGACCTTTTCCTCCTTTTAAAACACATGGTATATATATATTCCGAGGTAATATATATAATACTGTATATAATATATATATATAATATATATATATATATATATATATATATATAATATATATAATATATAATATATATATATATATATATATATATATATATATATATATATATATATATATATTATACACACACACGTTATGATTTTATTTCAGTTCCTATTTTAGGGATTGAAGAATTTTTGACTGGTGTCCAAATGAAATGTAACCTTAATGACTCTCATGCAATCATAAGCTTAAAGCTTAATAAACCAGCCTACATTTACTGTTTATTTTTATATGTAGTACAATGTTGTTTTACAAATACAAAAATGGGAGACTGAAAATTAATCCAACGTTTCAGTCCGACTCGGACCAATATAACCAGCCGCACATTGACCAGTTATTTGTGTATTGTTCCCTTTATTCTTACCTTAGATATAATATTATTACTAATAATAATAATAATATAAATAATAACTAACATTATTTTATTGTATTTAACTAGACCTATATTTTCACTTATTTCAATTTAAGAGTGCAAGATTATTATTGAAGTAGATCATCAAATTCAACGTGTTTGTCCCGCATTTAGAATTCCCACCATTATGTTTATATACAGATATGTGAAAGTTATGGATCTTCAGCGCGATTCGTCCATATAATCTCTTACGCGGCCCTAACATACCCAACTTCGTATTTGTTGTATTGAGCGCATTCAATGAGGAAGATACTTTGTTAGTAACTACCTTGAAGGCAGACTCACATACACATGAACATTAATACATATTATATCATGGGGGAGAACTAAACCCGTAGGATTATACAGCACCTGTTGGGGGGATGGAAGATATTCAGGCTCAATTCAGGGAACTGGAGCACAGATCCAATCCCCTAGATCAAGAGCCCCTCACCAGCGTCAAGGAACCTCCCTTGAGGGGACATTAATACATAAGTACGTTCTAGTTTGTAAACATAAATACATAATACGGACACATGAATGCAAACTAAAAAATGTAAAGGCATTTTTTATATAAACAATAATGCGATGCGGATTAGAAAACGATACTGTAAGGACTTAAAACAATATACAGCTTTTAAAACAAATACATAATAAGAACACGCCAGGTAAAAACGTCACGCTAGGTATTTTTAACAGATCACGCCAGGTAGAAACAGACCACGTCACTCATCATAAGGTTGAGATTAGCCCAAGAGCTAGAGCTCACCTTGCAGTAAAATTAAGTGGCAGTGCAAATATATCACACATGATTAGTCACATAATAAAGATAAAACAAAAGCTAAACATTGTGATGACCTACCTCAAGAGACAAGAGAGTGAGTGGCTGCCATAGTAACCCTGAGCTTTATAGTATAACATAACCTACTTTAGAATAAATTCTTTATCAGACATTCAATGAAAGGTTACCACGATCGTTTCCTCTAGGATGTCTCTCCTTATAACCCCTACCAGTTTCCATATGGCTAACGTAGTGGAATGTGGCAACGCTCATATTTACCATCCGGTAACATGTTACATATATAAATTCCGTCTGAGTAGGAGAGAAAGCTTCCTAGCTTTCTACAGCCGAGCAGGTGAGACTTGTCTGCTTCCAGGAAAATCGAGTCTTGGTCTTCTAATTCAAATTTGTATGAGGTGCGGGGGTGACAATGGGGGTCAGGCTGAGTATTTTGTAGCTTAGTGTTACTACAGTGGGACGAGGCCGCGGGGGCCACATACGTTGGGCCCGTCACGTACACACTTCCTCGCCGCCATACTGCAACTCCCTCCTGAAATGTCACCGCCGGTCACCAAACATGCTGCCACAATCTCTTATTCATTCTATTATTCCTACGATATAACTCGTCTCCTCTTCTCGTCCTTACGTTCCCATTATCATATAAAGTATTCGATGCACTTAATAATATTTCACTTTTTTATTCTGAAGAAAACTATAGAATCCGGATGTGCGCATGCGCCCAGGTGTGCAAGATGGGAGCACCTTCTGGCGGGTGGTTTAGAAGGCATATAACTCCAGCCAGGCAACTCTTAAGCCATTCCAATGCGCGACACAGGGAGTGTAACACGTGTCCGCAGCTCCCAGATCATGACAGGCAGTGTGTGTGCAGCTTTTATGCAGTGTTGAGCGAGTCTCGAGTGGTTTATAAATAGCGCAACTTGGGACTATTCTCGTGGTACTTGAACTTCATGAGTTTTATCGACTGTCATAATGCGTGAGTGACACTGTCACTTTGCCGATCTCTTAGTAGTACAAATGATAACCAAAGATTACCCTGTGATTTGTATATATTATTAGATAATAAAAAACTAGTTACAATACGTGGTGCCTTCCTTTACGAAATAAGGTATTTTGAGCGTGAGAAACTATGCAACTAACAACCAGAAGCCAGTATAACTCGAGGGAGGCGGAACAGTTGCAGTCATTGCAACAGGTGGTGTTGTGTAGTCAGAGTAACTTGCCTGAGGAACAAGCTAGGGTCGTCCCCAGCAGTCCTCCTCCATCACTACAGCACCACCAGCGCCTGCCATTGCACCTCCTGGTCACAGACTCACAGCTGTCATCACCCATCATTGAGCAGTACAGTCCTGAACAGACTGATTATAGTAAGCAAACAGAGTGCATCACTGAACAGAGCGATGAACATAACTGTACCTGCCCTGAAAATGTTCCTGGCAATACTCGAAAGAGGAAAATGGTAGATGAGGAAGAGGAAGTGAGTGAGGGAGAGGCTGAAAGATTATTAACAGGGAAGAGAAAAACACAAATAAGCGGTGCACAATCACGAGAAAATATCCCTTTATTTTATTTATACGGCGATCTCCTCCTTATACCTAAATTCAAATGGGTAAGTTAATTTTATTTTAAAATATAATTATGCAGTATAATGTTTATATAGTCAAATATGTATGGATGAGCTATGTAATAAATTTGCAAATATACATATAAAATACACGATGTATTCCTATTGTGAGTATGTTTTTGAGTGGGATTAATATTGTGACAAACGGAATTTTTATTGTGTGAAATTTCTATTGTGTAAGTGCATAGCTATTGTGTGACTGAAATTTCAACCGTGTGAGAGGAATCTTACATGTATGGCAGTTATGACGAATGTGGGAATGTGAAATTTATATACAGGTTGTTATGGGTGGTGTGTATAAAGAACGATCAATGTTGATGATAGTGGTGTGTGTGTTATGTAGATAATGATGGGTTAAGTGGAGGAAAACATTACAAATAATGTTCGTTTAGGAGGCAGACAGGCTTACGTTGCTAGTGTTCATGATAATAAGACGCACAAAAATATTTTGAAATCTCCGTGTCATTACATTTATAGATAAAAGGGGGGCCAAAGCCTTCTATTCGTTATTCAGTTCAAGTTTCCCGTGAAAAGCAGGGATGTGCATTATGTTGCATAACTATTTTAAAGTTGGAGCACAATTCCTATCAATTCATATTCACTTATAATAATGCCATTCCAGGTACATGAGTTAGAATTTATGCACCATTGTGTGCATAATCCACGGTATTCGTTGAGTTGTGCCTGTAAAGGTAGAATTTCTCACCGTGTGTACCAAAGCATGTGCGCGTGAAAGCATTCTTTGTCCATTATGTAAGCACGGGTTTTACGCGCATAACTGAATGACGCCCTATACCCTCTTGCTTCCACCTGCACCTTCTCCCCCCCACCTCCTCTTCCTTTCCCATCTTCCTCGTTCCTCTCACCGTTGTTCCAGTTAGTGGTGGTTTAGTAGTGAGACATTCTTCAGGTCACTTACACAACCTCCTCGTCTGTCAGCGGTACCACCTTGTACGTTTACGAGAGCTTCACTTTTTAATACTAAAATATTCAGGGCCTCGATATACGGTATAACAGATTGTTCCTATGGAAATAATTCGTACTGTTTATTTATTGCGTATATGCTGCCAGGAGCACGAAGGCCGCAATCCGTTCAAAAACTAAACGGCTACAAGTAAAAGGGATAGTATGGTATGAGTTCATAATTTAGTTAAATATTAGCGTTGATTATTTGATGCTAGTCGAAACTAATACCCCATTTATTTAATAAAAATAGCAAATTTGTTCCGAAGCAGCCCCAAACCCAATCCAAATTTTTCATTAAGTAAAATATACACTAGAGCTGAAAGCTTAAGGCCAATCAAGAGGCATTTTCTTCGTAGTTCAGGAAAACCAATATCTCTATTTGTTTAATATAAATGGCGAATTAGGTCTTACATAGCAGAAATTTGCAAACTTCAATATAATAATAAAACGCATTTAGTAGTTGCGGTACTTGGACATCTATATGAAAACACTGACGTTATATTGTAGGATTTACCTAGTAAAAAATTTAACATTGTATGAAAATATGATACGTGATAACATGTCACGCCATTTTTTCCTCTTGCAACAGAGTGGTATTAAATATTTAACTTATTTATGGTATAAAACAAATGTAGAACATTTGTAATGTACTCACATTCTCGCGGTAGGACTTCAATAAGCCATGAGGTTTCCAGTTAGGTATACACTTAAAAATTGCTGAATAATCACTGAATTATCAGTCTAGCAGTAAACATTATTTCCGTGAATAACAAGTGCCTCAATTACTAGAAAACTCGTTTCATTACTTTTCTACCTGCAAATCTAAAAACCAATTGTAACCATACCTAGCTTACTAAACTTTAATTAATGTCTGTAGCTCGCGCCCACAGGATATCCTGAGGATTACAGGATGCAGTCACTTAGGAGTCCAGGGTGATCATTTGAATGGTTTATTATACTACGGTCAACCTGTTAACAGAAAGTTTCTACTGCTACTCATATTACAGTCTACCACTCCAGTTAGTACTATCGTACTATCGAAAATGCATCAGTTACTACTAATTGTATTAAGCTACGGTAAACTAAGATAAACCTATTCACGTAAGTAGGTTATTTATGGGCAGTACTGTAAATTTATACGAGGGTTGCATTAAGCACAGACATACATTGGTGATAAATTATTTCATTATTGTTATTATTATTATTTTTGTTATTATGGGAAAGGAAGGGCTAAACCCATCGGAGTCATACAGCCCCTGGGAAATGGATGGCAGTCGAATTTGATCCAAAGCAGAGGAAAAACAGGTCCAATTCCTGGGATTCAGAGCTCCTTACCGGAATCAAGGCAGCTGCCTTTAGGGGAAAAGATTATGAAGATTTAACAAGCTAATGTGACTTATTGACTTATTACCATTAGGGTCCTAACTTGCTAGGCTCTGGTGGCCTGGTGGCTGACGCTCTTGCTTCACACGGTGAGGGTCTGGGTTCGATTCCCAGCCAGAGTAGAAACATTGGGCGTGTTTCTTTCCACCTGTTGTCTATGTTCCCCATCAGTAAAATGGGTACCTAGGTGTTAGTCGACTGGTGTGGGTCGCATCCTGGGACACTGACCTAATTTGCCCGAAATGCTGAGCATAACAAGGGGATTTCTATGCAGTAGTATGCCATTGTTGTCAGCTAGGCCTGTATACCATGTACATGTACTTGTAGTAAATAAAGATATTATTATTATTATCAGTCCATTTTGCCCAGATGACAATGCTTTCACTGGAACATCTGGTACACCAGAGCTTCATGGAATTATAATTTTCTGTTCTGCTCTGGCAATCACAACTTTAGACGCATTTTTACTGGCTCAGCCTTCGAGGTCACGGCAAGATTTAGTCTGAAAGCAGCTATTGTGAAGATACATTACATCACAGCCATAGGAATTCTTTCTCAGGTCAGGCTAAATAACCGATACAGAACATAGTTTCTTCATGCAGAAGTGTACGTACAAACCAAACTGAAAAAGATGATCAAGGAGTGTCTGCAGTGAGGCTACGTAATCGCTTGGTTATTCCTTACATAGATGTATATCTGTTGTACCCTGGGTAATAGCTCATCCATTGTTCACCAGGATTACATGTGTATACTTCCCGGTGGGGAGAGGAACAAGTTACGAATGTTTATTTACCACAGCTACACTACTTACCATCACAATTCATTAGCAAGTTAAACCCCATTTCGTGTTATTTCATTTCGCTATTGAGGTTAGGTAAAATAAAAATGGGTTTGATTTATAGATTATGTACCTAAGCAGCATTTATAAATAACGCCGCGAGTGTATATCAAGGAATTCAAACTCGTGCACCTCCGAGAAGTACTATCCCATTCCCTTACAGCCACTAGCCCCAACCACACAAAAAAAGAAAACTGATCAGGGGCAGCTCTGAAATTTGTTTTACACCGTTGAATATACAGGCCAACAATTATTTCATTTCAACTCATTTGAAAGACCAACCCTACCTAAAAGATACCTACTACCCCTCCCCCTCCAAGCATACAGCCCTTAAGTCGACCGCCCAGGTACCTTTTTATTGCTGGGTGAACAAAAGCAACAGGTGTAAGACTTGCCAATACGTACACTAACGATTAAACCTGGTACTTCAGTCTGGATTTCTTCAAATAATTCCGGGATAACAAGAGGGTTAATATATTTTCTATTGTTAGTTTTATTCTACAAATTGTGCGGTAAATATAATAATTAGCAGAACACAAATAAAAAACAAACTACGAACCTGGATAGAAGTCATAGATGAGCGCAAAAAAAGTAAAATCATATTACAAAATCTATCTCGCCAACAGGTTCGCATCGTCTCATATACGGTTGTGCTCGTCAAAAATTTCTAGGGCGGCACAGTGCATTAGGGGTAACGGAAGGAAATCTGGAAAAAAATAATAACACGTTTACATAATTCGATATTTTAAACAAATTTACATAAAGACATCTAACCAAACGAAATTATAATATAGTATTTGTTATTGTATTTTATGCAGAGCTGGAAGACCCATGTGGGTTTAGCGACTTGTAATAATGATTATTAAAATATTTTCATTAAACACTATTACAAATATAAGTCCTACTACAACACTAAATAATACTAATACAACAACTATTGTTTTCACCACTACTACTAATAATAGATAATACATTATTATTATATTCATGGGGAATGGGATGATATCAGATTTGATCCGAGGAAGAGAAGTTACTCCTATTCCTAGGATCAAATGCCCTCCAGCATCAAGACACCCATTTGAAGGGATGCAATAATACAAAATAAGTTACAGAGATGAGACAACTTTTCCGTGTGTGAGCATATTTACACGATGGCTGCACCCACTCCATGATGCAACATCGTTAAATCTAGTCTTGTGGTTTCTCAGGGTGGGGGTTGGAGGGAGTGAGTCTATTAAAGCCTATTGGATGCACGTGGGTCATTATGACCTCAGCTCACCTGTACTCTTACAAGATTTATAATTTCTAACATAGGGTTTAAACGCAGTGTATATGTAATAAGAGACTACACCTTTTGGTGTATATACTGTAGAAAGTAGCTGCTTGATAGGGCAAGGGAATTGTTTGATGTGGCGAAGGGGAATAAAGTTCCTTAATTAGAGTGAAGGTGAATGAATTATGAGGGGAGTATCCAAGGGAGGGGCAAGGAAGTTGATTGATGGGTTGAGGGTGAATGAGTTATATGATGGAGGTGGAGGCAGTTGTCTGACGGTGTGTTGTGAGGTGTGCATCGTCTCACGTACTCAGGTGCCCCCTTTTCCCTTCTACTACCGAGAAGCAGAGTTATCAAGGACATAAGAGCGGGATGGTATTGCTTACGTACTTCAAAAGTACATATAAGAAGAATAAACTTTTTATACTGATATGGATGACGTTTTGTCAACGGGCAGGGGAGACAACCCGCTCCTTCATACAAACCACCTAAATTCTTTCTTTAAAAAAGTTAGCGCTTTTTATTGCGCTTTAAAATTATTTATATTCAGTGTAAAAAGACGATCCAAACAATTTCAAATGAAAACTTCTATAAATAATTTTTGAATTGCCCATTAGATAAAAAACTATATATATCATTTTGATTCGCCCTTCATGATATAAAACCATTTAGATACATAATTTTGAGTCGCCCAACAAAATTTTTCCTGTATCGTGTATGTAAAAGGTCGTAGTGGTATGTTATATACATTTGTTCATGTGTTTGCGCGCGCACACACACATACATAATATATATATAATATATATATAATATATATATAATATATATATATATATATATATATATATATATATATATATATATCATATATATATATATATACATACATACATGTACGTATTTATGGTACATTGTTAGCGTTACAAAATTTTTGTCCCGGGTATGATACACCATCAGCAAGGTTTAATTTGTTACCTTAAAAAAAACTGAGTTTTCTATGCTTAAATTTAATTACTTAACTAATTTCCGCACACTTATTTTTTAAATCCTAATTTAAAACTTCTGTAATGTTATCTCGTGTTGAAAACAGGTACATCTCAAAATAAGATGTACATAATAGTGGCAACACGATGGTAAACACTAGTCTTTAAGTAATTCCTAGAAGTGAAATTCGTGGAATAAACCGCTATATACTTGAGTGAATGCCTTAGGAGTTTACATTACACCTAACAGGTTTCGATGAAAAAATAATTATATCAGAGGAATGATCCATTTATAATATGAGAATTTGATAAATATACGAAGGGAATCAATCATATTTTGCATCTTATGACCAGAACACAACGAATACAAAACTTGTGACATTCAATCTCGTGCAGTTATGTTTTTAATTTCTTTTCATTTAACAAAGAGTTAGCAGCTTATTTTAACCTACATATATTAATGGCAGCATCAATAGTTACAAGTAAAACACTATCCTTTGTCTTGAAATACGCAGTGTGGTGCCTTCTGCAACGTGCATTTGCAGGATCTTTGTGACGAAGAATGACTTTGCATGCCTCCAAAGATTAAATGACTTGCAGCACTCGTGATTTCTTCGAGAAGCTCTGACTTGCGTCTTCACCACCTGTACTACTGCTGAGTCGTCACCTGCTGCTCTGCACCTCTCTATGTTGTTCACCTGCTCCTTCATCCTCGCCATTTTGGTGTGCGCGCGCATCACATGCTTACCCGTATACCTCTTCATTTAACTTATATTGATTACTTTAGTCATTTACTTAACCACCTACCTTCGTTGTCAGTACCCACATGGGCCTTAAATTTAGTGTAAAATCAAAGTATATAAGACGCATGAGGGAGTAAGTATTTGTTGGTCGGGAAAATTTCTGACATGGGTATGTCATATGGTGACCCGCTTTGTGGATATTATGGCCTTTTGATGCGAGGCCTTAGGCTGATTTACCGATACACCCCATGAAAAAAAAAATATATCATAAGATGTGATACTGAGGTTTCTTCATACTTCAGAAACAAAGGAACACGTTTGTTTCCTAAGTTTGACTTCGTAAAGGTTACTTGTATTTCTTTTCCTACTGAGGTCTGTAAGTGACCCGCGGGCATCAGCATGTATAAAAATGTAGGTAAAATAATTGTAACGTTGCGCTTCATGTTATTGTACAATAATAACGTTGCACTTTATGTCAGTGTACAATTGTAACGTTGCAGTTATGTTAGTGACCCAAGTGCAAATATGGGGACTTTAACCAAAACCTAACAGAGATAAGACATATTTCAAAATTTTGAGTTCACAGCTAGGAGGCTTCACCATTTTGAAAATTTTTAATTAACACCGAAAATATCCTTGGCATGTTTCGCAATGAATACATAAGACTAGTACCATTGTTTATATTAGTCACAGTATTGTACGTGATACCTGGCAGGGGCTAGTAGTGATCAGTATTTGTGAGATAAGGGGTGGTGGAAGCGCGTACTTATGTGGGTGTAGGAGGCGAGGTGAGGGCGCTCGTGAGGCCCAGTGCGGCAATAATGGCGGCAGCAAGGGCAAAGAGTTCAGTGGAGAGCCAGGCAGCCCGGCTGGCTGCTTTTACTAGTCGTGTCGTGAGAGTGGCACTGTACTCTTCTACACTTGTTTCATCAGCCTGCAGCAACTCATGGCCCCTCTGTACCATGTTTTATAGGGTGAGTTATCACCCAGCTTAGTACGGTTCCCGTCCCTTACACCAGAACACCTTTCACAACTAACTCACAAATTGTAAATGAAAACCTAGAAGATATTTCGGCTCATCTTGGACTATTATCATGTATTATATAGTGCAGAACGGACCTAAACGTAGTCTGGTTTTGCATTTCCAGTATGTGGGCGACATTAAATTGTTCTAGGAATGGTCTTGTGACTTAATCTTAGCTGTAATATCTCTTATTATAATCTTGAACCTTGAGCATGGTGCGATTATATCTTTTTCTGCTTAATTTCGTCTACATATTCCCTCTTGGTGTAATTGTCAGACTGTTTCCATTTGCTTTTTTGCCACTTTTGCTCATGTAGGTCACATATTCTTTCCCCAGTTTTTACCAGTCCGTTCTTAATAATGTCTAGTAGAGACGTGCTAGCGTAAGCTTCTTTTTTTTATGCTCAGTTGTTCATTGGAGAAACCTTTGAACAGTGATAAGAGTGGAAGATAATGTATCCTTGAGATACCGCAGCCTTGTTCGTTGAGACCACATCTGACCTGCGTATTTTCAGGGTACTTTGCCTTAAAAATGGTATAACCATAACGATTACAAAATAAAAATATTCTTATAGATGTCTCTTGCATCAGATAAAGTGATATTTGTATTTAACTTTGGTGTTTTTAGCCCACTGTGTACTGTTGAACCAACTAAACCAAAGTTTAGTATAGTAAACTAAAGAAGTTGAAACATTGTATTTAATGTAAACCAGGTTTAACCTCGGCTTGTAATCCAGTTAAACAAGTTTAAGCAGCCTAAAGATTAAATTAATTAAAGCAAGGTTGAACATCATTATTTTTATTTAAACAAGACTTGAACTTCAACTTAATGAACTTTTTCTGACCTCGGCGACAGCCCCTCTTTGACGCAGACTGACTTTATTACACCAACTTTAATTATATTGCCTCTTTAGCACTCACCACTATTGCAAACTCTACGTCTTGTATACTCCTAACTCACGCTGATATCTGATCTTCACGTATTTCATTTTTAGCACATCCCACTTTGTGACGTTGTATGACCCTTGTGGGTTTAACGCTTAGTTTCGATTGTAATAATAAGTTACAACCAAACTCAGCCTTTCTTTTAATATACTTACTAGATAGTAACTTAATAAGTATGACAGATGACTCCTTGTAATGTAATCAGTTAAGCCAGGGCGAACCAAACTGAGCCTCAGACAATTAGTCCATCCTTTTAGTATCCCTTTAAATACACACATGCACAAAATGCAAATCTGACATTTTAACTGAGGCTAAAACTGTCCCCAAACTAGTATTGCGACCAAGGCTAAAAACAACTAAACAGTCATATTAGGGAAAAGTTATCTATAAACCATCACTTAATGAGGCTAAAGAAAAAATGGAATGGATTTACGGAGATGACAGGGAAGTGTGTAAATAACTGTAAGAGTTCAGAAAGTGGTTTGCAGATTAAACCGCAATTATCAGAAACGGAAGAGAAGCAACTTTTGCAACACCCGAAACCACGAAAGGCAATTGAACCAAATAGTCTCGCTAATGATAATCAAGGACCTTGTAGGAGGTACCAGTGAAGATGTACACCATATCACTGGAATTATCAGAAATCTGTAAAACGGTGAATACATTTCCGAGCTTTAAAGACAGGAAGAAACGTGAGGCGGCCATACCAGGTTAACGGTGAGATGGAGCTCACCTCCA